CAATGATAAACTCGAGTTACGATTGAACGGTTTTTGCTATTAGGGGCACCATCAAGGCAGAGCAAGGGCGATATGCAAATGTTCTGCTTCGGCTTTTCGGAAGTTATCAAGACAGTAATTTTGGCATATGCTTTGTATCCTCCCACAAACTTCAGTATACAAGGGACAAAGTCGCCTGAATTTTGCATAATCTTGAGTATGTCCTGCACTCTAGCTCCTGGTCATTCATCCAGTTCATTCCATGCAGGTAAACGGAAGATTTGAAAACCACCGTTATTGTCCACCGGTCTAATGGCTCATTTCCACAAACGCGATCCGCTCGTCAAGGAAATAGGTAAGCTATTCATCTGCGTAGAATTTTAATGTACGTCACAGAAAACTGACGTCGTGGCCTGTAAAAATAAATAAGAATGAGGAAGATAAATAATTTCTCCTTTTTTGCTAACCTCACCCCACGAACGTGAGCAAGTAGCGGACATATTTCGGAAACTTAAATGTTAATGCACGCACAGGAAAAATACAGATCCTGTAAGAAAGATTCCATGTAGTGCACTTGAAGATGGGTTGAGTGGTGGCATAGTACACTCACCTGTGCTGTATGCTCGTAGTGCAATTTTCTGGTTCAATATTATTGATATATTATTAGTCCGCAAGCAGACAAGATAGGTAGAATGCAGATTTGTCGGGATCGTGCTTTCGACTGCCGAGCTGTTATTTAAGTTTAATATTTCGAAGCTATGTGCAATTATATTCGACGTATCCAAGTACGTCTGTCCATTTATATTAGAAGAGACTTCTGTGCCTCGACTGTTTTTTCCAGCCATCTGTAAAACACAGGTAAATCGTTTTCATGTCCATCAGAATATATTTTGTTTCCGTCGGAATTTGAAATATTACCCAACTTTTGAACACTTAGATTGCGGGCGTACTCTAAAGATTAAATTGAAAACTCAGCTGTTAATTTTGACTTGTTTTATACTGAATGTGCCTAATTTTGTTCCATTCATATGTTAAGGCCTTTTTTTTAAAAAACTAGGTCTAACAGGCGTTTCCTCGTTTACTTGTAGAGAGAGCGACAAATATTCTTGCAAGAGGACATGACCAAACAGCCTTCCTAAATATTTGCGAGCATATAAACCGACATCCAAATGGACCGTCAATGGCTTTGCCTACCATGGTTAACCAGCTGGACAAGTTTGCAGGAAATTACACTAATACTACGGTCCACAAACTGGACTTAATGGACGTGTGCATGAAAAACTGCGGTTACCGATTTAGGAGTGAACTCTGCAAAGGAAACTACTTAAAAGCATTGAAAAAAACTCAGCACTCATAGAAATTGTAACGCTGCAAACCGAACTAGCATTCTTGCTCACATTAAGGCATGCGAGGCTTTTCAATTTTATTCATTCTTTAGGTCTGGCACCTGGCCATGCCAGATGAGGTAGATATTAAAACGATCCACATGCTGTACGACGACCTGCTTGACAGTAATGTGGAATTTCCTGAAGTAGACCAAAATGAAGTAGACGCACTTAAGAGAACGGTAAGCACGATTTCGGCTGGGTGAGTTGTTTACTGTGCATATTGTGTCTTCCTAGAGTTAGTTCTATTGTGATTATTAACAAGGTCTTTCGAGACTTTGTCCACAGGTACTCTTTTTCATGACTGTGTGGAAGTATAGATCTCA